CTAGCCCACTCCTGCAGTAACCGTGATCCAACCATGACAAAGTCCTGTGATCCAGCCACTCTGAAAGGTCCCCTCTTAATACTCTTACACCAGCAATTAAATTTCAGTGCAGGTTTTGAAGGATCATGTAAACCATAGCATATGTGTTGGTCATTGTTTTGTTACTGTAATGAAATACCAGAGACAGGCTACTTTTAATCCACATATGCAACATGAAGAAATTGTGGTCGGGTTATGCTTTGCCCTTTTAAATATCAGAATCATTGTTTAAGGAAATAATGCCCTTCATGTCACTATGAAATCAGCATTTGCACTGTTTTATTCAGTTACTGTTCTACAGTTTGGGGAGATGGTTGCACCATCAGCTTGGCTCTTGTAGAACTCATGGTCGATGTCCTCCCAATCTCAGGATCCTGTGCAGGAGCAATAGATGACAGACCAGATAGGAAGACACTAACGCTATTGAAAGCCCACAGGACAGAGACCTGAGTGATACTGGACAGGGTTCCACTGGTCCTCTCCCATTGGTCAGTGCCTAATTCCCCAACACAATGTGTGACAAGGTACAGAGAATTGCCAGTCAGGGAAGCTCAATGGACCCCTGGTGTCCAGGGATTGTAGTGGGGTTTGGTCTTACATGCCTGGAGCACCAGCCTGCCTGACATCAGTCACCCAGCCTCCAGCCCTGCTGGAGGTCACAGGCATCTAGCCACACCAAGGTCCCCACCACATGTCCCACTATTAGCATAAACTGTTGGCATGAACTAAGGCTGAGATACAGAGATGGTTCCGTGGGGCAGAATGTCCCCGGTGCAGACATGACGTCCAGGAGTTGCTGAAGTCCAGAATTCAAACACTCCAGAGCTGCTCAGGGGCTGTCTACCCCCAGGGGCTCACTTGGCCTGGACGCCCACACTAGAGGCCAGCTGCCCAGCCAGCGCCATCACCTCTCTGACCAAACTTTATAGGTGACACCACAAAAGGTGGAGAAATCAGGGAGGGAAGAAGAGTTGTGCCCGGATTGACACCCAACAGCGATGCTGCCAGTGTCGTAAATGTCCTCAGGACAGGAGCCCCTGCTCCCAGCTCTACAGGGACCTCCTTCTGGCTTGAGGTGTTGAGTCTGCTGGCCATCTGCAGCCCCCCAGGTCATTCGAGACTGCCCATGGCAGTGAAGGGATGGGCACAGGAATGTGTCCCCTCTGCTGTCAGGAGAGAGAGTGGGGACGAGGCCAGACTGGATTTGCCCCTGGAAGGAGGGGGCTGGGGCTCTGGAGGCAGCAACTCACGGGTTTATCGGACCCTTTTTCATGCATGGTTCCAAGACCTGGGGGTTCTGGAGGCTGGAAATCAGGCCAGAGCTGGTGTGCAGCTGCTGGCCCAGCCGCCAGGCCTTCCTCATTGCCTTTGTCCTGAGAGATGTCTGAAAAGCACAAGCAGGGGCGGTTGGTGGGCTCCTTGATGGGATAAACCTTCTCTCAGGATTTGATGTCCTTGAGCCTTGGGTACCAGCCACTGTGATGAGAGGCCCATGTGCAGCCAGGAGGGGGGAGGGGCCTGCAGTTCCTGCCAACCCAGGCAGGAGGCAGGAGGGAGGGAAGGCGCATTCAGGAAGGTCAAGGTCTGCCTACCTGGGCTTCTTCCCCATGTAGAGGGAGGTGACTCCAGTACTTCATGCTCCAGGCTCACAGCCTTTAGCAGGATTATTTTTTCCTTTGTCCTTTGCATATAGATAAGTGGCAAATGAAGCCTGGGTGCTCTCCTTGGCCCCCACTGGAGTCCCACTGCCGAGGCCCTGCCCACGTGAGCAAGGCCTCCCCCTGCTCCCCCCCACCCCCCACGCTCGTGCCCAGGCCAGTCTCCCTCCCTGGCTCTCTCCAGCTGATCTGGACCTGCTGGCCGCCAGCCCTGCTGTCCCTGAGGCCTCCATGGGGCCAGCGAGGTGGCTTCGCCTCCCTCCTGTGAGTGAGCTGTCCCCAACCTTGACATCCACACCAGATGCTGATGGGGTCTCTCCTGCTGAGCACAGTGTCCGCAGCCAGAGCCTGAGATGCAGAACTGTGAAGGCAGAGCAGGCTTCTCAGCCGCTGCCCCTGAGGGTGGAAGACAATGAGGAGGTCCTTCAGAAGGAAGGACATTTCCAATGGAGAATTCCATTATGGTAATTTCAAATTACCTTTATGAATTCAAGGGTTAAGTTTTCTTTTCTTTTTTTAAAATATTTTTTTTATTTTTGATGGACATTTTATTTATTTATTTTTATTAATATGTTGTGATGAGAATCAAACCCAGTGTCTCACACGTGCTAGGCAAGCACTCTGCCACTGAGCCCCAGCCCCAGCCCCAATGATTAAGTTTTCGACACATGGATTTCAAGGAGGCATATTCAAACCACAGTACTATCCCGGAGCATTTATGCTAGAAAAGTGGGGCTTTGGGGAAGCACCTTTTAACCTGTTCTAGTCCTGTCCCAACTCTCCAGTTCAGCATGGCCTTGACAAAGAGCAGCTGCATCCTCAGTGAGGCCCAGCAGGCACCTGGGAGCCCAGGGGCTTAGTACAGGCAAAGTCTCATCCCCAGGGAACTGTGTGTATTTCACCCATCTGTTGGCTCCCAGGTAGACGCCACCTGCAGGGCTGTATTTGTCTGGAGGCTCCCCTAATGCCAACTGCCTCTTCCTCAGTCTAGTTTACTGGGAAAAAACCTGAGTCACTGTTGAAAATCAAAGCCGCCTGAGGCTAACAGCTTGGGGCAAATTATACCTGAAGCAAAAGTTTAAAAGAAGTCAGTATGTCAGGTGCCACAATCTGATCCATTCCTGGGGATCTCAGAGGCCAGGCATGTGTGTGGAGCTATGTGCCTGCACAGGAAGACTGGGAGGCCCTAAACTTGTGCCTCTGGATGACCTTGAAGCCCTGTGCAAACAGCAAGTGAAGATTGGGGTCATGCACACCATGACCCTGAGAACACACTGAGTTACCCAAAAGATGGTACAATTGATTGGTTCCAGGAATTAAGTAAATCTCTGACCAGTCATTAGATGAACATTAACATGAGTAAAGAATTTGTAGGCCATGCTTTGCAAGGACAGAGGTGTTACAAAATTAGTTCAGAAAAGTCACTAAGCAAAATAGCAACTATAACAAGCAACAATAATAAACTCTGCACAAAGAAAATGACCTCATTTATACAAGTGCCATAGAACAGTATTTGAAATGTCCAATTTAAAAAAATATATTTTTAGTTGCAGTTGGACACAATACCTTTATCTTATTTATTTTTTTATACGTTGCTGAGGATCGAACCCAAGGCCTCACGTGCGCTAGGTGAACAGTCTACTGCTGAGCCACAATCCCAGTCCTGAAATGTCTAATTTTTAACAAAAAGGTTATGATAAAAAAAGATAATATGGCCTATGTATAGGAAAACGAGCCATTAATTATATGCCATTCTTTTTTTAAGATATATTTTTAGTTGTAGATGGGCACAACACCTTTATTTTATTTATTTATTTTTTAAAGAGAGAGAGAGAGAGAGAGAGAATTTTTAATATATTTTTTTTTCAGTTTTCAGCGGACACAACATCTTTGTTTGTACGTGGTGCTGAGGATCCAACCCAGGCCGCACGCATGCCAGGCGAGCGCGCTACCGCTTGAGCCACATCCCCAGCCCCATATTTTATTTATTTTTATGTGAGGCAAGCACTCTACTGTGGTAGTCAAGCCAAAGTGACTCCATTTTGTTCAGCAGCTCCATTTAGTGCCAAATAGAAAGGTCATGACTAGGGAAAGTTGTTCTTTTCCTTTTACTTTAGAAACCTTTAAGAACTGGAACTACCTAATGGGGCACTGTTTCTGTAACTAGGGTAACGGGGCTGTGTTTCTGTAACTGGGGTGACTGGGATCACTGTGATAGGTTAGGCTTCCCGCCGCCTGACTGCCCTCTCCCGCTTCTGTACCTGGCTGGCTTGCATTGGCTGGACCCCCCAACATCCTTTTTGCAGTTTTCAGGCTTATAAGGAGCGCCCTTGCAATTGTTCGGGGCTGATCAGGGGAACAGCTGTATGTTCCGGTCAGTCGCCACCGATGTGCTTCAGTAGAGGCTTGATTGGATTATACGTGCGTGGTCTGGAAGTCAGTTGATGAAACCCCAGGACGAAGCTTCAACTATAACATCTGGGGGCTCGTCCAGGATCCATTTCTTCCCTACCCTCACGCCAAATTTGCCTCCAATGAGGGGCCTTTGGACCTTGGCCCCGGAGAAGAGGGGGGCCCCTGAGAGACGTTCCTCAGCCTCACTGCGAGGGTGACCCCAATCCGTCCTAGGATGCTCCGAGAAGCCTCCTTCCGGCCTGTCAGACCTGGTGACTCGACTCCTCTGGGGACAAGGTCAGATTGGACCAGTCCTGAGATGTCATCGCTGTCTCCCTGGAGGCCTTCCTGTGGGGCCTCATCTGTTCTGTGCCCCCCTAGAGTTCTCCCTGTGTGACCTCACTGGTTCTGTGTCTGTCTTGCCGTGTGTTGTGCGTGGCAGTTTTGTTTTCATAACCTCTCTTCTTTCATCAGACTCCTCACTCCACCGACGTCATGGGACAAGGGCATTCTACAGAACTGGCCTCCCTGGGTTTGGTTTGTGTCTTTGTCAGTGTCTTTGTTTTTGTTTGTCCCCTTTGTGTTCTGTGTTGATTTCTACCTCAGTTTGTTTCTAGTGTTAAAAAAAAGGGTTAAAAAGGTTTGATTGTGCTCACTACAGCTTGCATTAAAATGTAAAGTGCTGCCAACAGGACTGAAAAACTGTCAGAAGTAAAAGCTAAAGGTGAAAAAAAGCCTTCTGGAGAGTGCCTTCATTTAGGAACTGGGCAGGTGGCCAGCAGGTAGATCCTGCCAGTTCCTCTGTAGAGGACAGAGTAAAACTAAAGTGCTTTATGAAATTATTCCTAAATTGTATAACAAAAAACATAATCTTCTCTAGGAATTTTGGCTTTTGTCTCTCAGTATGTACAAGCATGAATAACTCCCAACTATTAAAAATGGTGCAAAGATTTTTCAATGTCAGGCTAAAATTTGCTGGCCGCTATCCAAGAAACCAGAAAAACCAGTTTAGAATGGGACCCCAACCTGGGGGACTCTCCCAAGAAGACCAACGAAGCTGCCTGTTTGGGAAGTTCCTTCAGGAAGGAGTAAGGCCCTGTCATTTGTCTTTGTTCCCTTAACTCTTCAGCTTTGATGAGCAGGACCACCTCAGGAAGAAGGTCAGGAAGGCTTTTAAAATTCTATATTTGTTAAATTCATAATTTTGATCTGATATTCATAGGTTAATATGTTTTTCTGATTACACTCTGCTTTGTCCTAAGGCCAATTTACAAGGGTTAACTCTCAATCTAATAGGTTTTTTTAAAAAAATAACCAACAAGGCTTTTGTCTGTTTGCTTTGTGTGGGTGCACGGGTGTACTGTCCGTCCTCATGTACTGCCATGTCTACATACATTTGGTACCAAAAATTGACTTATGAGCTCATAAATTAAAATTTTTAAAAAATGGATCCAAATACCTTTGGTTAATATGATTTAAAAGGTTCAATTTAAATTGGGAAAATAAATAAAAGTACAAATACCTTTAAAGTTACTAATGCACAGTTTCGTTTCTAGGTTGTAGGTTGTGAAACAGTTGTTAATAAAATGTTAATGTCTGTAAAGTGTCTAATAGCTATTGTCTCTAGGATTTTTCTTCAACAGGAAAAAAATTACTAATGCTATTCAATAAACTTGTCTGATACCTTGCTTTTTTTTAATATTTGTTTTTTAGTTGTAGTTGGACACAATACCTTTATTTATTTATTTTTATGTGGTGCTGAGGATTGAACCCAGGGCCTTGCACTTTCTAGGCAAGCGCTCTACCACTGAGCCACAACCCCAGCCCAATACTTTGCTTTTTAAAAAAAATGTAAATTAGATCTGACATGTATAAAATTAATCATGGATGTGTTTGTTAGAGACATCTGACTGGTTTACAAAGTTAAATGCTAACTGTTAAATATGATATCAAGTACTCTTAACTCCTTAAAATCCATAAAGTAAAATACGTAAACATTGTTAACATTTTCATATATTGGTAAATTTAAAAAATTTTAAATTACCTTATGTTGTCACAAAAACAAGGTTACTAAAAGTTAAAAGTCCCAACAGGTATAATTCAAGAGTATATAATTCAAGGTTTCAACTACATTTCAATTAAAGTTCTGTAAATAACAAAATATTTCATCTTATTAAAATGGATTAATTTATCTAATTCAGAAATTTATAAAGGTTATTTCAAGGTATAAACAGAATCAATGGATTAAAAATTATTAAAAGGTTCTAAATATAAAAATATATTTAATATAAAAAATGTTTCCAGGTTTAAAAAAGTCTTTATGGGGTTAAAGTATAATTATAATACACCTAAGTAAACAATAAAAGGTCTAATTAAGTAATATAAATGTCTATAAACAAAGGAAAAATATTAAAAGGTTTATATATATCTAAGTTGGTTATACATGTAACACAAATAGTTAAAACTATTCAAGGTTGTTCCCTAAAGACACATATTAATGTATTGATATATTTATATGTTAAAATGACAAAAATTTCTAAAAATATTTATTACATTGTGTCTGTTAAGTTTTATTCTCTAGAGCAACTAATCTTAGCGAAATTAAGGTTTGTACATCTATGGTTAAACAGCAACTGTTATTTTAAAATATTGTTCTACATTACAGAGTCCAGATTTTTCTTTAAAGGCTAAACTTTGTTAATATTAAAAAAATCAATGAAATTGTAGTACATTACTCTTTTTACATATAAATGTGTTCATATCTTTCAGGTATACAAGTCCCTAAGGTAAAAGATTTAAAGGAACATTTTATCAAGCTGGTGTTCTCCAAACTAAATATAATGTCTGTAGTGGTAATTTTGTCTGTGATGGTAATTTTGTCTATAATGGTAATTTTAAACTTATAAGGATAACAGATTTTATTGGGGATTTATTTATATCATTTGATGTTTTGTAACCAAACCTTGTGTTATCTTTTACACTGGGATATATAAAATTTAAAAGATGAGAGCCTAATCTGTTTAAAGGTTAATATTATAAAACATTTTGCCACTTTTCCACACAAAAGGAAAGTTAAGAGCTCTCAGCCTTTCTTGATGCATGTTTTAAATGTATGTCATATTGTGTTAGCTAACATTCATACAGACTTAGGAAACAATATATATAAACTTTATAAAATGATATCTAAAAAAGGAGACAAAGGTCAGCTTCAGAATTAGCAAATTTTACCTAAGATTTGTGAAGAGCCCTGCCTTACCTGAGATAAAACTCTGCCTCCCACCTTACAACATGTCAGAATGACTTCAAAGTAGGCCAGACCTCGGTTGATTTAAAGTTCTATTCAAAGATTGATTTTATTGTAAAGATTACTATGATCTCAAATAGGAGATACAATGTATAACTCAACCAAGGTTCAATATTATATACAAGCTAAATATGTTTTTACTATTGTTAATTTCACTTTATATTTCCATTATAACTGATGCCTGTTTTACAGATGTAATACTTTAAAAACACACAACCTAAATTAATTTGAGATATTAAGCCATCATCTGTAGACAGATAGTAATTAAAAGGGATTGAATTAACTGTAAAGAGGCTGGGGTTATGGCTCAGCAGTAAAGTGCTTGCCTTGCATGTGTGAGGCACTGGGTTCGATCCTCAGCATCACATGAATAAATAAATAAAATAAAGATATTGTGTCATGTACAGTTTAAAACAAAAAATTATTAACATTAAAGTTAAAGCCCAGTACTCTTAGTTTAAGACTGACTTGCTGGATGTTTAAGGCCAAGGCTTAAAAATTAAAGTTAAAATAAAGAGGACAAGAAAACCAATATTTGCCTCTTGCCCTCTGAGTCAGCCTGAATCCAGGAAAAAGGGGAAGAGCTTTGCAACTCCAGGCCACATAACCTCCCGATAAGGCATATTGAGACCACTGGAGAACAGAAAGCCAATGAGTGTACATGCTGTAAAAGAGGAGTGTCATTGAAAAGGGGAGACATGCCTGATGCTTCCAAGGGAAGCCACATGGTCAGCAAGACCTTGACCCATCCAAACACAGATGTCACTAGCAGAGCTAAAATGCTGCTCATGAGTTCCCCAAGAGTATCTCCCAAGGGAACTCAGCTGACTCTTAACAATAGATAGGAACAAGGTCAGTTGACCAGCTTGATCTTAAACACCTAGCAAAAACAGTTAAAACCAAAGTACAGCCATTCCTGGACATTTAAAAAAAAAGTTATTTTAATGTAACAGAAGATGTTCGCTTGTGTTAGCACCCCCCAAAATAAGTAAGACTGGCGATAACAAAAGAGAGATTCTTAGGCAAAAGTGCCTGATAACTATCTATAGAAACTGCCAAAACAAGAAGTTTTTATCAGTTTAAGGCCTAGAGATTGTCCTAACTTCCTACACAGGTAGACTTGATCAATGTTTGCTAGTATAATTATCTAGCCCTAAATAACAAAAAGATCCTTACTGAACACAGAGGTCATGCCAATAAAGATATTTTATAAGAATCAGATGACATTACCTAACATAACTAAATGTTGTGTCTACATTCCTGATAACTCTGACAAGGTTAAAGATCTATGTTCCCTAAAAAGGGCCTTATTAGGCTTTATTAGGCCTTGTTATGGGGACAATTTCCCAGGCCTTCCACCTCCTGGTAAACAATTATGAATTTCTATCATTTTCATGATATTCATGGACAGGTTCCAGATGCTACAACTGCTATTTTGTATTAATCTTATTTCAATACTCATGTCTTTTTGTTTGGCTCATAGAAGGCCCAACCCCAGGTGAATTTACAACCTGTTCTTCCTGAACCAAATTATTACCATAAACTCCTTGACCCACTCAATTTCTAAAAGGGGACTCCAAACTTCTTGCCCCACTGTACATTGCCCCCTCTCAGCTCAAAGTAGCAAGAATGGTCATCCTCCTTTTTCCTTACAGCAGTAGGAAGTCCCTAACAAACATTAGAGGGGAAATTATGGTAAGTATAGATGTTCACCAATGTCTAGCTCAGGAAGATGTGCCTGGGGAATTAATCCCAAGATCACCCGGGTGATCTCCAAGAGAGAGACACTTACTTGCTTCTACAGCCCAACTTATAAGTGGGACAACTCCCCTTTTACCAAAAATTGTGCTTCCTGGGTCCACTTTGATCAACCACTAAGCCATACTTTCTTGTTCCTACTGAAGGAACTCAGTTTGCCTGCATGTCTGGACTAACTTCTTGCCTAAATCTCCCAACTGTCATTAACTCTGAACTATGTGTCACAACCCATCTTTTTCCTCAAACCTACTATTTTGATGGAGTAGAAGAAAGAAAACACCTGGACTTATTAGAAGGCCAAGGCCCACTGATTTACCAACACAGACGGGCTGCCTTCATTTTAGTTCCCCTCCTGGCTGGCTTGGGACTAGCTGGATCTACTGTTTTAGGAACTGCAGCTCTTATTCAGGCTCTGAAAATTTTAAGTCCCTTGGCTACCAAATAGACTTAGGAGAACTAGAAAGGTCAATTTCCAAACTAGAAGCTTCACTAGATTCTCTGGCAGAAATGGTCTTACAAAATAGACAGGGCCTAGATCTTCTCTTTTTAAAATAAGGAGGACTTTGTATGGCCCTAGGGGAAACTTGTTGTTTCTATACAAACCATTCTGGGATAATAAAAGACAGTTTGGCACTAGTGAGAAACAGGTTTTTTTTGTTTTGTTTAGGAAAAAAATACACGAGAAGTCTCAGGTAATTGGTTCCAAAACCTATTCTCATGGTCCCCTTGGTTGACTACCATCATCTCAGCCATAGCTTTGCCCTTAGTTCTTCTCTTGATTGCAATAACTGTAGGACTCTGCCTCTTAAAAAACTCTCCAAAATCATATACACAAGAGTGTAGGTGAGGTCCGATTATGGTCTTGTGAGCCCTGGATGGTCCCTTAGAAAAAAGGGAAGAAACTAAGGCATAAGGATGTGCAAGATTGACATCAAACCTACTAAAACCAGTGGGGAATGTGATAGTCAAGCCAAAGTGACTCCATTTTGTAAAACAACTGTGCCAAATAGAAAGATCATGACTGGGGAAAGTTGTTCTTTTCCTTTTACTACAGAAACCCTTAAGAACACGGAACTACCTAATGGGGCACTGTTTCTGTAACTAGGGTAATGGGGCTGTGTTTCTGTAACTGGGGTGACTGGGCTGTGATTGGTTAGGCTTCCCGCCACCTGACTGCCCTCTCCCGCTTCTGTACCTGGCTGGCTTGCATTGGCTGGACCCCCGAACATCCTTTTTGCAGTTTTCAGGCTTATAAGGAGCGCCCTTGTTATTGTTTGGGGCTGAACAGGGGAATAGCTTCATGTTCTGGTCAGTTGCCACTAGTGTGCTTCAGTAGAGGCTTGATTCAATTAAATGTGAGTGGTCTGGAAGTCAGTTTATGAAACCCCAGGACGATGCTTTAACTATAACACTACCACTGAGCTACAGCCCCAGCCCCGATATGCCATTCTTTTTATGGCTGAGTAATACTCCACTGTTTATCACATTTTCATTTGTCAAGAGCCATCCGTGGACTATATGTGGACCAAATCAGCATGGAAACCCACTGAATAGAAAATCTGCTATTTGGGAACTCCCAGTGGCAATCCCACTGGTCAGATCGCCCAGGTAAGTGTGAGTCCTACTCAGCTCTGCCAGGTCCCTCAGAGCATGGGAGATGGGGTGACCTACTGCAGCCACACAGCCCCTCTGAGAAGGGTGTAGCCTGCCAAGATGCCAGTCAACCTGTTGACTGCAAGGCCTCATGAAGCAGGACTCCACCCCGAAACCTCATCCCTGCCTTTGATGTGCCCCTTAAGTAAAACCACAGAACCATTTTCTAATTGTTCAGCTCCAGCTCCTGTGCAGGCTGGACCTAGCAATGCTCTGCATTTAAAACTATTTTTCTGACTTTGTCTTTTATTTCTTTACTAATTATTCCAGACTCTATTTTCTCAGGTAGCATATACCCTCTTGGGCAGGAAAATGTACCCTGGCAAGTCACTGACAGCCTCACGGTAACTCATTGTCTACCCACCGACAGCCATCTAGGTTGATCCTGTACTGTGGATGTGCAGTAATAAACCCGAGCAGGCAGGAATCCCTGCAACATGCTGATGGGCCACACTGGAGGCCTACTTTTAGTTTTCTGAGGACCCACCACACTGTTCTCCATAATGGCTCTACTGACTTAGGTTGCCACCAAGAGTGTGAGAGACTTCCCCTTTCTCCACATCCTTGCCAGCATTTCTTTTGTGTTTTGGATACCAGACATTTCGATGGGTTGAGATCATATGTCACTTTGGTATTGATTTCCTTCAAAGCCATAGTTTTTGAGCATTTTTCCATAAATTAATGAACCATTTGGATTTTTTAGGGCTATCATATCATTTGCCCATTTTTAAAAAAAATATTTATTTTTTAGTTGTATATGGACACAATACCTTTATTTTATTTATTTTTATGTGGTGCTGAGGCTCAAACCCAGTGCCTTGTGAGTGCTCTACCACCGAATGGTAGAGTGCTCTACCACTGAGCCACACCCCAGCCATCATTCACCCATTTTTAATCAGATTTTTCATTCCTATTCTGGATTTCTGGATATCAATCCTTTGTCGGATGAGTAGGTTGTAAGGTTTTTTTTTTCCTTTCTCATTTTGTAGGTTGCGTCTTCCCTCTGTTGATGGCTTCCTTGGATGTGCAGAAGCTTCTCAGTTTGATACAATCCCGTTGTTATATTCTCACCTTCTGATCTCTAGGTGCCAATGCATGTCCCCCTGGGCCCACAGAGCAAACAGGTGACAGCCACAGCAGGATACAGGAGCCCTGGCCACCGCCTCCTGTTCTACCTGCACCTCTGGCCATCTGGGCCAGGTGCAGGAGGCGGGCACGCAGGCCACTGCAGGCAAAGCATGGGGCCAACCAGCTGGAGTGCCCAGGGGCCACCATCCACTGCAGATGGTGCAGCCAGACCAGGCTTGGTGCTGCCACACTTGTGGCCAGGCCCTATCCTGCAAACCCCACAATGAGCACTGCAGGGCCTCCTCTCAGAGTCTCACACAGACCCGCCAAATTTGAGGTTCCATGAGGGCCCAAGGGGTGTTAGAAAAATACTCACACACTTGGAGATTTTGAAGATAAAGCTGGGGTCAGGTGGAGAAGCAGATCTAGAGTTAAGCCAGCAAGCTTTATTTATGTATGTCTCCTTAGGTTAAAGACTATGCAAGCATTATTCTTTGTACGCCGGAAAGTTACAGAACTAGAGACATCTATGCAGCTGTTCCACAGTTGAGTGTGCAATGTCAGGAGCTTTGCGGAGCGCTCAAGGGGCCCATTGTTTAAAGTTACTGTTAAGCAGACAGGCCGGGGCAGACGTGCTGGTGATGCTGATTGTCTAGGAGGACAGTTACTCTGTCCCCAGGAGCTGTGTACCTGGGGTCAAGGCCAAAGCTGATAAGACTCCTCCACAGAGCCTCCTCATGCAGGGCGTTGCCAGAGGAACTAGGCATCCTGTGTTCCCACCATCAGGCTCACCACAGTCATGAGGTCACCAGAGACCCAAATCTCAGTCACTGCTCTCCCATTCTCTGTCACCACTTTCCACATCTTTCCCTTTTTATTTTTTAAATGAAGACCTGCGGCCACAGCTAGCAGGGCAGAGCCGAGTCCTGCCTGGCTGTGATGAAGATTCCGGAAAACTTCCACCTGAGCAGAGTGCTGAGGCACTTGTGGTCCCCCTGGAGCTCACTCGTATGCCCAGAGGCCTCAGGGACTTGTAGTCTGCCCAAGTGACATTGATATCATAGCAAGTTGACCCCCTCATAGGCTGGGTTAGGAAATGTTTTCTACTCCTCAATTTTTCAGAAATTTTGAAAAGGGGCATCTCAGAACAAAGTGGCAATGACAAGACTGCTTTATTGAACATCAGAATAAATAACAGAAGAGAGATGAAGGAGATACACCACAGAGTGGCAGCAGAGAGACCCCATGAAAACGGAACCACTTGAAAAACGTCAACCAAACTGACCGACCATTTACCACAGGAGTAAGGAGAAAAAAGAAGACTCAGACCCGAAGGCGGGGACATTACTTATGGCTCCACAGAAATAGAGGATTGTGGGGAGCCATTCTCACACGTGACTGGGCAACTCCCGGACTGGGTGTGAGGCGCTCTGGCTAAACTGTGTCGGAGCTTTCCCGGCCCTCTCCTGGTGCGAGAGCCTGTCCGTGTGGGGGTGTGACTGACCACTGACCCTGGGGCCAATCACTGACCCTGACCTTGGAGTGCTGCCCCCCTCAACCTTCATTGGATGGAATTCTCCCCTGAATTTCTTGTTCCCCAATAAAAGGCCCCTCCCTGGCGTGCTCTCTCTCTCTCCTGCTAGCCCTGAGCAATCCCTGCTGCCCTACCGGGTGGTTCGAGGTGTGAGCCAGAGGGAGAGCCGTCTCGGACCTGGTCATAGAAAAAGGTAATTGAGTCTGTGTGTTTATTTCGATCTCACTAGCTAACTTTATGCCAAGAACCTCTTTAATGAAACCAGTGCGCTGGTCGCATGGTGGAAGAGGATGGAAGGAATTACGGGACAGAGCCTCGTGCCTGCAGCTGCCCACACCATGTGAAATGGACACTCCCAGAGACACACGGGCTACCAAGAGTAGAGCAGGAAGAACAAAAGCTGAGCAGGTTCTTAACTGCGAGAAGATTGAGTCAGCAATTGAAAATCTACCAACGAAGAACAGCTCAGGACTGTGCGGCTCCACTGGTGACCCTGCCCACTGTTTAGAGAACTGATGCAGAGCTGGGGCGTGACTCGCACGTGGGAGGCACTGGGTTCCATCCTCGGCACCACGTACAAATAAATAAATAAAGGGATTGTGCACACCTACAATTAAAATAGTGAACAAACAAAACTTATATAAATCCTTTTGAAAATTTCTGAAAAATTGAGGAGTAGGAAACATTTCCTAACCCAGCCTATGGGGGGTCAACTTCTATGATACCAATGTCACTCAAAAATGCTACAAGGAAAGAAAACTGCAGATCACTATCCCTTAGGAATATTGATTCAGAGAGCTTCAATAAAATTCTAGTGGGCAGAGGCTGTGGCTCAGTGGTAGAGCACCTCCTAGCAAGCTCCAGACACACTCAACACCTTAGCAAATTGATTTGTTCCTTTGTGGCACTACTAGGGACATGCTAGGAAAGTGCTCTGTCACTGAATCACATTCCCAGCTGCCTAGCAAACTGATTTTAATTATGTACCACAAAAGTATATGCTATAACAAATTGGATTTATTCCTGGGATTTATTCCACGTGAAAATTCATCATGGTAAACACACATGAACAGGCCGAAAGAGAAAATCCACATGATTATCAATGGGAAAAAATATCTGACAAGATTCCAAAAAGATTCATGATAAGAATATTCATCAAGCCAGACATGGTGGTGCATACCTATAACTGCATTTACTCAAGAGGCTGAAAGAGTGCTGGGGATGTGGCTCAGTGGCTAAGTGCCCCTGGGTTCAATCCCTGGTACAAAAGGGAGATTTAAAAAAAAAAAGGGGGGGGGGAATGATTCAGCAAAGTAGCAGGATAAAAAGAAGCGGGGGACGAGGACTGGCTTCAGACACGTGGCTGAGGACCCAACAGAGCCAGGGGCATCTCAGAACAAAGTGGCAGTGACAAGACTGGTTTATTGAACATCAGAGCCCCGTCTGGGGGCAGGGTTGGGGTCTGCACCTCCTCTAGCGGGGCTCAGCACACAGTTGATAGGGGGATGGGGTCACTATGGTACCAAACACACCATAGTCGCTGGGCCGGGCTTGTCCAGGGGGCACTGAGAAGCTAAAGCGCTGCAGGAGGCAGGTGAAGAAGAGGAAGAGCTCCATGCGGGCCAGGGGCTCCCCGAGGCACACACGGCGGCCTGTGAGGGGGACTCGGGCTCAGTCAGCCTGTCCCTGGCCTCCACCCCTCCAAGGAGCCCTGGGGAGGGACAGGGAGGCCCCACAGGCACCTGCTGAGAAAGGCATGAAGGCCTCCCGCTTCACAAAGTGGCCCTGGGCATCCAGGAAGTGTCCAGGGTGAAAGTGGAGGGGCTTCTCCCAGACGGTCTCATCCTTCAGCACAGACGACAGGTTGGTGATGAGCGTTGTCCCCTGGAGGAGATGCCTGCCATGAGCAGGGACTGGGAGGGGGATGTCAGGACCTGACCACTGAACCAGGCTGGTCAGACTCTAGTTGGTCCACACTGAACCCTTGGAAGTAACCCTCAGAGCCAAAGATTCTCAGCATCCTCGTGGACATGATGGCAGGGCCAGGTGACAAGGGCCCTGTTGACACCCATACTAACCTCTGTCCCCGAGCACTGCAGTTGCTACAACAATCTGAGGCACGTTTTAATCTACTTCCCCCAACAACCTGGGCTCTGTGGTTCTGCGCTGGCCTGGCGGCTTCTCTGCTTCCCAGACCCACTCAGGCTGGGCCAGGTGGAGCCAGGGGAACTGGGAGTCAGGGGAACTAGATGACAGTCCTCCTTCCCCTGGCAGTGTCCATGCTGGGGCCACTAGCTTATGGGTCACTTGGAGCTTGGGAAGAGGGCCCCAGGCCTACCTTGGGGATGAGGAAGCCCTGCAACTCAATGTCACGGGTTGTCAAGTGAGGCACAGCTAGAGGGACAAGGTCTCCAAAACGCTGCACCTCGTGAATCACAGCCATGGTGAAGGGCATGCGGGCCTGGTCCCCCATCTCTGGCTGTCGCACCTGCCCTATCACTTCATCAATCTCCTGTTGGACGCGGCCTAGACAGACAAGCAACCCCCCAGTATGTCAGCACCCAGGAGCCTGCACCCTTACCCTCTCCTGTCTCAGGGCTGTGTCCAGGTTAGCAGGATATCAGGCTTATTGGGGACTGGGTCAGCTTATGCTTGGAGACACAGATGTCCCACTTAAAATGAGGGGACCTTTTGTCTCCAACCTCTCCCTCCCCATCCCAGCTCACGCTGCACATCCGGGTGCAGGATCATGAGCAGGAGGGCCCAGGCCAGCGTGGTCGAGGTGGTCACCATCCCTGCGGTGAACAGGTCAAGCACCACGATGCGCAGGTTCTCATCATTGAAGCTGCTCTCAGGGTTCCCCTTGGCCTGTGCAGAGGCAGACACAGTGGGCTCAGGGGCCGAGGAAGAAAGTCACCAAATGACCTCCCAGTCTACACCCATCAGACCAGGTGCTGGGTCACTGGGCCCCATATTGCCCATTCTCGGGCCTCACAGGGCCCTCAGCCCACGTCCCCTAGCCCGTCTCAGGCAGCCCCACCTCACCTTCTCCACCTCTGCTAGGAAGGCGTCAGTCAGGTCTCGTGGTGGCTGGGCTGGGTCCCAGGTCATCCTGTGCTCCTCCAACAGCTCATCCACCATATCCATGAAGGCCTTCTGTGCACGGAAGACCCAGCCAGGCAGCCCTGGGATGCGCAGGAGCACTGGGACCACATTCAGCACCTGTGACAGCCACAGAGGGGACCTGGGTCCTTCCTGTACTCCTTACTCACCTGGATCACACTCAGGTCCCAGCCTCCTCCAGGGTGGACCCAGGCCTGCCTGTCCCACCCAGTAACCAGCTCCCTCCCCAGAGCCAGCCTCCAAGCTCTCTGCTGGCCTGGGCTGCCGGAAGGAGCAGCCCACCATGGGAATCTCCAGCTTGTGTGTTAGCTGGACAGCGGGCACGGGCTCATTTTCCTCTCCTGGAGCCCTCTGACCCTGGCCCACCTGTCCTGCTACTGTTTGAGATGTGCTCACCTCCGGGCCTTCTCTCTTACAGTGTCCTCTCCAGGATGCCCTCTCCCATCACTCCTGAATGCTAACCCTGCTCGGAATCTTGGTTGCACAGAATTGTCCCTGGATAGTCCCCTGAACTCCTCACCATGGGCACAAAGCCAGAATCCTCCTTCAGCATGTCCTCCAGAAGGTCCAGCATCTTGGCCAAGCGCTGGTCATCATACTTGAAGCGGCGGGCATAGATGAGGGAGGAGATCACGTTGCACATTGCTCTCTTCAGCAGGGACATGGGGCTAAAGGGGCATCCTGGGAGGGGGGCAGGCCAGTCAGAGTGTGGCCCCTGCCTCCCAGGCCTGCCCATCTCATCTCCTCTGTGTCCCTCAGCCCATCACCTACCGGCCTCGTTGGCAAAGGCTGTACAGAGGCAGCTGGCCTCCTCGGTCACCCACCGCTCCAGGGACTTCTTGCCCAGGCCAAAGTTGCGCATCGTCGAGACAGAGAAGCGCCGCTGCTCGCGCCAGGCAGGCCCATAACTTGCCAGGATCACCCCTGAGAATGGCAGGGACAGCTTCTAAGTCCGAACCTGTCCATACCCTTCTCCTTCCATGATGTCATAGGAGCCCTCTTCTACTCAGTTGGGACATATGCATCTCTGGCTTTTCTCTACCCAGGCCCGTGTTTCCACCCCTGAGTGGACACATGGGCCTGGATAGAGTGAAGTCACTCATCCCTATTTCCAGGTATCAGCCGCCCACACCAATCCATCCCCCAGTTTTCCATTTCTGTGGCTGCTGAAATTTGCCTTGAGACCGTGGTCCCAAGCCCAGGTGGTCATAGATGGACATCCACGGGCGGTCGGAGGTGTACTCGCTGTGGTTCACCAGCGCCTCCCGCACAGCGGCCAGCCCATTGAGCACAATGACAGGCTTCCAGGCCAGCTGCAGGCTGAACACGTCTCCAAAGCGGAACCTCATCTGTAGGCAAAAGGGCCACGTATTTGTCCAGCTGAACTCCCTGCTGGGCTGCAGACCTTCGCCTCACCACAAAAGACCCAGGGACTCTGCAGTGTGCCAACTCCGGGAAGAGACCTGGTATTGACATGTGGGAACATGGGGTTGGGAGTCACACCCTGTAAAGTGGACTAACTCAGTTCGGATCCAACTTTCTGGACGCAGCAACAAGGATCTTGCCAATCAGGATATTGTCAGTGGCGACCACTAGTGGCCCACTGTACAGAGCAGGAGACAGGGTCACAGAGGGGAGCAGTGAGGCGCAAGCCCCACAGCACAGAAAAGTTGAAGTGGTCTCTGTCGACCTGTGTCCACCTAAAGTTCCTGACTGTGTGCTGCTCAGGACCCTGGCCCCTCCCCATCCCCACGACTTTTCCCTCTGATGGAATCACAAGGGACTGGGGCCTACACAATTTATACCTGTCCACCTGGATCCCAAACCCAGTGCCAAGTCCAGTCCCAACTCCTGGCCTTTGTCCTCTCACACCTTTGCCCTTGGAAAGTTGAAAGTGTCCTCGAGCTCTGCCGTGCCCTCTCCCAGGACGCCTCTCAGCCTGCTTCCTTTCACTGCACAACTCCTGGTCCACCTTGGCTTCACTCTCAACCCATCTCTTTTTGTCCTGGGTTCCCTCCACTGTGATCCACCAGACACTCCCTGACCCTGGGTGTTGGAGGGTACTGGGGATTAATCCCAGGGGCACTTAACCACTGAGTTACATTCCCAGCCCTTTCTATTGTTTATTTTGATGTAAGCTCTCACTACATTGCTCAGTCTACCTGGAACTTGCAATCCTCCTGCCTCAGCTACTTGAGATGCTGGGATCACAGGTGTGCACCACCAAACCTGGCTCCTTTACCTTTTGGAAGGAGCTGGGCATGTTCTGGAAGTCAATCTGCAGCAGGTTGCCCAGCCCGGGCAATGGCAGAGGGCCTGGCGGGTAGCGTGCAGCCCAGCGTTGGCGCCGGTGCATCAGGTCCACCAGGAGCAGGAAGACGGCCACGGCCACACTCAGGGCCCACAGTGCGTCCCCGGTGAGCAGCCCCATGGCTGCCGTGCTGTCCACGAGCTCCTCTGGCACACCCGGCTCCCCTGGCCACTCCAGGTACCTGGGGCCAGGGAGGAGAGTCTTGTTACACCCTGGGCACTTGACTGCCTGGGCCCTTCCCTTATAAAGGAGCTGAGGCTGCCCTTCGCCCTCTGCCTGGAGCCAACACACTCTGTTGACTGTGCAGGCAGAGAGTGCAGGGAGGGGCCAGGGCAGGGGCAGCCTCCCAGGCCCTTGGCCCTCCTGCCCTCTCCAGGTGACACCCAGGGGAGGGCATGGAGATAGGGAATCGCCCCCGTCCCTGCACCTTACTCTCTGAAGGAGGCCCAGGCTCATCACAGCACCAAGGTGTGCCTTGAGTGCCCTCCGCACCTCACAGGGCCCCCTCTCTGACGTGGCCACGCCTGCCCCTGAGCACTGCCCCTCCTTCCTTGCCTCCCCTCCCTCTCCTCAGGGCCTTCAACTCACACTTGCCATGCACACCAGCCTGGGTCCTCCATGTGTGGTGGCATAGGAGAGTCTACAATCAGGGTCTCATCCTTTCTGCTGCCCCCATTATGGTCTGGATGTGAGGTGTCCCCAGAAGCTGACATGTGAGACAATGCAAGAAGGTTCTGAGTCTTAACCCAATCAGTGAATTATTCCCCCATATGGATTAATAGACTGGTAATTGAAGAGGCAGGGTGTGGCTGGAGGAGGTGGGAATCGGGGCACAGCTTTGGGGTGTACAGTTGTATCTGGGGAATGGAGACCTCCTTCTCTGCTTCTGGATCACCATGAGCTGCTTCCCTCAGTTCCAGTCTCCCGCCATGATGCTCAGCCTCACCTCCAGCCCTGAGATATGCAGCTGGCCTTCTGTGGACTAAGACCTCTGAAACCGTGAGCCCTCAAATAAACCTTTTCCTCTACAGTCGTTCTACTTTTAGTCACAGCAGCGAAACAGCTGACTGAAACACCCCCGCCCCATTGCCCATGGCTGATGGCTCCCCCTAGGGCAGGCCTGCTCCCCGCAAGGCCCATTCCGTCTCAGACCAACCTGGCTTCAGAGGATGGCACCTTGGGTTGGACCTGAGACAAGGACCTTCCTCTAGATCCAGCCTGGCCTGAAAGGAACCTCCTCCCTGCACAGGGCCCCGGACACCAGGAGTAATCAGAGGCCAGGGAAGGAGCCCCATCATGCCTTCTAGGGACAGAGAGGCTCAGTGAGATGGCTGCCCCATTGGCTCTCATCAGGGAACTTCTGGCACCTGATGACTGAGCCCTGGTGTCAACCCTAACACAGATCTTCCGGCCCTCCCTGATTTCTCCACCTTTTGTGGTTTCACCTATGAAGTTTGGTCAGAGAGGTGATGGTGCTGGCAGAGTCCCCAAACAGAAACACACATACACAAGAAACTGAATGAAATCAAAGCAGCTAAACCCAAAGAAGCCCCATAGACCCAGAGCATTGCATACTGGAAACACAGAGCCACAGACAGACTTGTCCTCACTGCTTCACAGCCCACGGATTCCTTCAACCAATAAATCCACCCTGCTGCTGTGCGTCAGGCACCGTCCTAGGTGCCGACGATGGGGGACTTTGATCCTAATAAGGCGGATATTCTGGGGACAGGGGCCATAAAACTCCAAAATCTGTAAAACATTGAGCATGTGGCACTCGGGGCACGTGGAGAAGCCCCTACACAGGAGGCTGCAGAGCTGCGGGGGCTGCAGAGCTCGAGGCCCGGGCTGGGAATATTCCACACAGTCTAACCAGGATGAGCAGGTGACCAGCTGCGTGCACTGTACAGAGGAGGTCAGTCGCGGCTCCCTGAGGCCCAGGTCCCCGCGTCCCAGGGCAGTGGGGACACAGGGAATCCCGTGGGGACTCTGAACTGCGGGGTCTGGGCAACCAGGTGGTCCATGACTCTCCACCTTCCGTTTCTGAGTGTCAACAGGAGTCCCCCAACCCCGACAGCAAACAGGTGACAGCTACAGTAGGGCCTGGAGACCTGCCCGCTGCCTCCTGTGCCTCTGGCCAGCTGCGCTGGGTATAGGAGTCTGGTACCATGGGCTACTGTGGACAAGTGCAGGGCCCCACCAGGCAGAGCACCCAGGTGCCACCTAAGTCTGCGCACTGCGAAGCCCACTGGGGCGAGAGCCACACTGGCCGCGACCCTTGCCCACTGTCGCAGCCTGAGATCCAACCAGGAGTGGCACCCAGTACCTGGAGGAGACCTGGGCCAGGTCCCAAGGAGCTGAGAAAGTGCTGCCTGGATGGGAGGAGCCGCCTGGAGTTGATGCCACGGTGCACACTCTCCTCTGCATGTGCACAGCCCTCGAGGGCTTGAGGTTCACATTGGAGTCCACCTATGCGCCCAGGGACCTGGGACTTGTAGACCACCCATGCGCCCAGAGGATTCAGGAACTTGTAGTTCACACTGTGGCTACAGACCCCAGGGTCTAGTAGTCCAATCCATTCCCCCAGGGACCTGGGACTTGGTGGCCACCTCTTCCTTGTACTATGCCTTTGTACACAAGTGTACCCGGGGCTCTTTGTAGGACAAGGCACCCTCAATAGCACTATGCCCAGAGCGGGTGTTAAGTGGACAAGTTGAAAAGCAGTGAAGACGCGACTCCTCACATACCAGAAACCTAAAAGAGAGCCACAGTTTTTCATCAGAGGTTGCCAGAACCAAAGACACACTATCACAGGTTACAGACCTGAAAGAAAATAGACTGTCAACTGGAGTATGTGGCAAAACCATCCATTACAAATGAAGACGAAATGGAGACATTTCCAGGTCAGCACTGAGGGGCTTCATGACTAGTGGACCTGCCTGACAAGAGGCCAGGGGAACTCTCCAGGCTGAAACGGAGTTACACTGGACAGGAACTCAGCTCACAGACACAATCACAACCTGAGGAGTAACAGCAGGTCAATATAACCTCAGCAGGGGGCTCACTGGCAGACCCAGCCTAATTCCCTCTTCAGATCAGGAGCCATGTTGTCAAAAGTTATAAAAGATTCATTTCTGTTTTCTGTAAAATATTAGGATTTCTGTTTCACCTGGCCATATTTTGATGTTTTAAACTTGCTTGGAATGCCTGCCTTTGCCTTGAACTCACCCATGCCTGGTTTTCCCTGACCAGATAACAACCTCTCTGAAACCCTAAGGGCGCCGCATAAATTCTAATGTTGTGATCTAAATTTTCTCCTTAAGTGCTGAACTACTTAGACCATTAACTTACTACGTGCCTTTGTGTTATGCTTGTCAAAATCCTGTTATCTGTAAGTTTTCATGACACCCTCCCCCTTTTGCAACTTTTTGTGCTATAAAACTGCGCTCCTAGAGAGCTGGAGTTCTCTAACCCAAGGATTTTGGAAGAAACAGTCCCAGCAGGTCGGAATTACAGCTCGCTTTAATTTGGCTTAAAATTGGAGTCTGTGGTCTTTTCTTTGTGTCGGGGTTTAACCATACAAGGCTTCTTTTATGTTCCCTATGGGATTTGAACCATCAACGTATAAAAAAAGAATTATAAATCTGTGCTATTAGCACACAGTGTATGAATACTTAATGGGGAACGTGATGTAGTGGGGAAGGGCAGAGATATGTTGGATCAGAGTTTTCGTACTATAGAAAGTAAGTTGTTAAAAGTAGGTTTTTGTGGGGCTGGGATTGTGGCTCAGCGATAGAACGCTCACCTAGCACGGGCGGAACCCGGGTTTGATTCTCAGCACCACATTAAAAAAAAGAAAAAGAAAGACACTGTGTTGTGTCTACCTACAAAAAAGATTCTCTCTCTCTCTCTATTTAAAAAAAAAGGAGGTTTTTATAACTTAAGCATGTTGTCCTTATTCCTAATGTAAACAATGAGAAAATAATTTTGAAAAATCAAAGTGGTACACTAAAAATGTCAACTAAATGAAAAAATAATGGATTAATTAAGGGGAAATTTTTAATGTTTTTAGTTGTAGATGGATGTAATGTCTTTTTTTAATTCATTTATTTTTATGTGGTGCTGAGGATCAGATGGAGTGCGTCACATGTGCTAGACTCGCACACGCAATCTAGGAAAGAACTTTAAATGGTAGAGCCACCATGGGAAACAGCACAGTGGGCCTCAAAAATAGAAAGAGACTTGCCCTGTGAGCCAGAATTCCACTTCTGAACCTATGTCCACAGGAGCTGGAAGGAGGGTCTCACAGACACCGCTGTACACCCACCGTCACAGCTGCAGGTGGAGGCCAGTGTCCTCTGGCAGGTGAGTGGGTCAGGAAAGCAGGGGACAGGAGCCCTTATCCACAGAGACCCACCCCAGGGCCCCAGGGGATGCCTGAAGCTGTGCACGAGCCACGCTGCACAGTGTGCTGCTGTCCCTACCCACTCGTGCCCACCAGGAGGGTTAATTTGTAGCCTGGGCACAGCCGGGACGATAACACGGCTGACCTGGGAGCTGGCCAGCAGCGCCCTGCAGTGAGGGTCTGTGGGCGGGGTCCCTCTCTCTCTCAGATCCGTGGCCCTCTCCAACCTCTGCTCTGCTGCTGAGGGGAGATGCTGCCACGCCCAGGTGGGGAGCTGAACTGGGGGGAGGATGTCAGCATGAGACGTGATCAGAACGAGAGGTGTCCTCATGCTACCCAGAAGGCCGTGATATTTTATATGGATAAATTCTTTTCTCCTCGAATTTCCCATTTGAAAAGTTGCCAACTGCTGACCACTGGTACCTGACACCCAAAAAAGCCAAACCACAGCAAGGGGCACTGCAGTGTGCCCACAGGATGCGATGTCATTCTGCCCTCAACACGGGGTGCTGATCCCAGCTACCACCTGGATGAATTTAAGGACATCAGGGATATAAGTGAAACACGACGAAGAGTGCATGAGCCCACTGTGTGAGTCACGCTCACAGGGCGAGAAAGACGGCTGCAGACCCTGTGGGGCGGGGAGAGGGGTAGCTGCAGGAGCGCAGAGTCTCAGTTTGCAGGGTGGAGTCGGGCAGACGCCAGAGTGATGTTTTCCACCCTGGTCATGTTCTAATACCACTGAGCTGCGCACTTAAACGAGTTCAGAGAGTACGTTTCAGGCACAAGTCTCTCCACAAAACAAACACAGACGCTCACGCAGAGCCAAGTGGCCCTTGGAGGACAGTTGCTCAGCAGGCCTGGGGATTCCATCCCACATTCTCAACCAAACACCTGATTCCTGTCAGGCTGCAGGAGACCGTCCCTAAGGCCTGGGCACATCCTTCTTGGCAAGCGCCTTTGTATATCTGAGGCCCTTTACACCAGGGATGGGATCTGGGTGGGGGAGCTGGGCCATCTCCTCTGGCCTGGGAGGGGACAGGGAGTGAGTTGTGGCAGCTGGCCACAGGGCATCTCCACCCCACCTGACCAACCCCAAGAAAATCCCTGGACACAGAGGCTTGGTCAAACTTCCCTGGGGAGCAGGTCCCACTCCCTGTGTCACACCATCTGCCAGGCAGCCAGGGACAGCACTGATTCCTGGCAGAAACCTGTTCACTTGTCCCCTACCTGAGACCCACAGAGTCCAGACTTCTGCATGCAGTTGGCCACCAACCCAGAAGCCAGTGAAGGATCTCTGTGGGTGTCATGGACCCAGATGTCACCTGCTGAGCACCAGGATACCCATTTCTCACATGTACCAAGGGGTCCAGTCAGGAAGAATGGGGCAGAGGGCGACAGCTGGCTTCAGACAGAACCAGGGGCATCTCAGAACAAAGTGACAGTGACAAGACTGGTTTATTGAACACCAAAGCCCTGTCTGGGGGCAGAGTTGGAGTCTGCTATCTCCTCTATCGGGGCTCAGCACACAGTTGGTAGGGGGATGGGGTTATTATGGTACCAAACACACCATAGTCGCTGGGCCGGGCTTATCCAGGAGGCACTGAGAAGCTAAAGCGCTGTAGGAGGCAGGTGAAGAAGAGGAAGAGCTCCATGCGGGCCAAGGGCTCCCCGAGGCACACACGACGGCCTGTGAGGGGGACTCGGGCTCAGTCAGCCTGTCCCTGGCCTCCACCCCTCCAAGGAGCCCTGGGGAGGGACAGGGAGGCCCCACAGGCACCTGCTGAGAAAGGCATGAAGGCCTCCCGCTTCACAAAG